TCCGCACACCTACACAACACACCTATTAACCCTAAAAAGGTTTTAGCTCAGTTGGGTGAACAGTTTCTGAGAACACTCGCGGACAAAAAAGTACCGGAGAAGAAATAAGAAGAAAAAAGAATAATAATAATAATAATAAGAAACAGAGTAAAAACAATATGTTCCCAAACTTCGTTTGGGGAACATAATAAGGCAGCAAAATTCAAATTCTCATTTCTCTACTAAGATTTTTACATCGGGCTCGGAGTTGGTTTTCTTCAGAAAGACAGGACTGGGTTCAAGGCGACTAGGGGTACCACACCGGTAATTGACCAATCAAAATGAACTTAGTCAATTGTAGGTCCATACATTAAGCCGATTTTCCTTTCTTTTGAGAGTTTTTTTAATTTCCTTCCAGGCCAGTTTGACAACTCTGGTACCTGTGCCTAGGAAATTTTATCTACTCTATAAATAAATAAAGTTTTTTGACAGGAACTATTTCTCCAGGGCATAGGAGGCTACTTCCTGGGGTGCTTTTGTGATGTTTATAAAGACATGGAAAACACGTGGATTTGAGGGTAGCCCTGTTTGCATATGCAAATAAATCAGAAAATGTCGTGTACGTACCCTGGTTTTTTGGTGTCAGCTAATGTGACAGGTATTGTTTAACACCCCCTTATCAATATTTTTTCATGAATTCAAACACGTGAGGTTTTACTGGAAAGAAACGTGTATTGCTTTTTAATATACCGAAACTCGCTATTTCTGGGGATTGTGTAATTCTAAAAAAAATTCAGATAAATTTCAATGGTGAAATAAAAGAAGAATGCTTGGTATTAAAATATTAATTCATATCAGTAGAATTGAATGCTATTAACGACATCTGGAGAAATAGGCTTTAAAAGGTTTATATCATATCTTTGTTCGTCTGCACTTAAATTTCAAACACGACAGAATTTGTAATTTTTGCCGTAAAAATTCATAATTTCTATATACTTTAGAGACTTACCGTAAAACTTTCAGGAAACTTTCTATGAAGTCTTTTCTGCACCTTAAGTGAAATTTTATGTCGATCCCAGGTGTTGATCGAGTTTCAGAGAAATTTTCTACGTTGTTATTGATTTTTTTTTTTTAAGGAGAAGGGGGGGGGTTGACTTTTTTATTCTAAGCATTTGTTAAAGTGAGTTTGTAAATACATCTACGAACTTGAGCTGGATTGTGACCTTTGGGTCAAGGGGTCAAAGGTCAAGGTCAAAGGTCAAGGTCATCAAAGCATTTCATAAAGAAATATAAAAGTAACGGCCATATCAAGTATACAAGTCATTTGATCATTGCACGCGCGCGAAGGTGCAATGCATGAAAGCTATATCATCGTGACTACACTTTTAATGTGTTTCTATTCTTTGAATTTTGAAACGTTTCATAAAAAAAATTACGACTATATCAAGTAAATCGGTCATTTAACGCATTGCGCGCGCACACGTGCATGCAAGTCCTTGCATTCAAGTTTGATAGTAGCATAATGTAAGAATCCGTCATATCTATTCATATTCTAAATTTCATCCTGTTTTGTTGAGAATCAAAAAAGTTATAGGCATTTAAAGTTTAAGCCAATCAGATCGCAGCACACGTGCATGGGCGTGGTTTCTTGAAAACTTTTATATATCATAGTTTAGGACGTATTAAGGTATGATTATGTTTTAAAATTCAAAGTATTTTGTCAAAAAACAAGTAAGATATTGAGATTTTTGTTTCAGCTAATCGGAGCAAAGCGCACGTGCATGCGCGTGCATGCATGTGCATGATGACCGTAACTTCTTATAGGAGTCTATTGTGTCTGTCTATGTTCTAAATCTTATCGTGGTTGGTTGAAAAACAAGGGAGTTACAGCCATTTGAAGTTTAAGCCAATCAGATTGCAGCGCACGTGCATGCGCATGCTTTCATGACAAATGTTATACATCATGTTGTAGGACATCTTAAAGTATGCTTATATTTTAAATTTCATACCATTTCGTCAAAAAACGGAAAAGATATTGAGATTTTTGTTTCAGCCAATCAGAGCGAAGCGCACGTAAATGCGCGTGAGTTCTTGCTAATTTGACAGTGTCACATTATCTACACTATTAATATATCCTTATATAATGAGTTTCAAAGCATTTCATCGGAAAATGTTAAAGTTATGGCTATATTAAATATATTAGTCATTTCAGTCATTTCACGCGCCCGCACGTGCAGGCGTATGCGCGCAAAATGACCTTCGTTCCGCACACCTACACAACACACCTATTAACCCTAAAAAGGTTTTAGCTCAGTTGGGTGAACAGTTTCTGAGAACACTCGCGGACAAAAAAGTACCGGAGAAGAAATAAGAAGAAAAAAGAATAATAATAATAACTAGTGCTAATTGTAACGGGAACCGTTACAGATGTTCCCCAAACGCTCCCCAACTCCCTTCTCGTGCCATGTTCCCTGTAAGTTTCATTAAAGAAGGCAAAATCTATGCATTTAAGACGTAAACAACGTTTTTCCAAAACAGACCAAAAGTATACCAAGTATTTCAAATTTAAGCAATTTAAGCGTGCGCATGTGATTGCATGAGCGTAATGACGATATCATCTTGTCTACACTATTTTACTCATTTGCACGTGCACGCACGTGCATGATGACCATACCTTCTTGTAAGAGTCCATTATGTCTGTCTATATTCTTAATCCCATCCTGTTTGGTTGAAAAACAAGGGAGTTATAGCCATTTAAAGTTTAAGCCAATCAGATTGCAGCGCACGTGCATGCGCGTATTTTAATGACAATTATTATATATCATATTGTAGGACATCTTAAAGTATGCTTTTGTTTTAAATTTCAAAGCATTTTGTAAAAAAATAGAAAAGATATTGAGATTTTTGTGTCAGCCAATCAGAGCAAAGCGCACGTGCACGCACATGCATGCATGTGAATGGTGACCATACCATATTGTAGGAGTCCTTTATGTCTATCTATGTTCTAAATCCCATGCTGTTTGGTTGAAAACCAAGGGAGTTATACTCATTTAAAGTTTCAGCCAATCAGATTGCAGCGCACGCACATGCGCGTGATTTCATGAAAAATTTTATATATCATATTGTAGTACATCCTAATGCATGTCTATGTAAGAAATTTCAAAGCATTTCATCATAAAACAAAAAAGATATTGAGATTTCTGTTTCAGCCAATCAGAGCAAAGCGCACGTGCATGCGCGTGAGTTCATGCAAATTTGACCATGTCATCTTATCTACACAACTTATATATCTTTATATAATGAGTTTCAAAACATTTTATCAAAAAATATAAAAGTTACAACCATATTAAATATATCAGTCATTTTACTCATTGCACGCGCCCGCACGTGCATGCGAATGCGCGCAAAATGACCTTCGTTCGGCACATCTACACAACATGCCTACTAACCCTAAAGAGGTTTTAACTTAGTTTGGTGAACAGTTTCTGAGAACACTTCCGGACAAAAAAGTACCGGAGAAGAAATAAGAAGAAAAAAGAATAATAACTAGGGCTAATTGTAACGGGAACCGTTACAGATGTTCCCCAAACGCTCCCCAACTTCCTTTTGGTGCCTTATTCCCTGTAAGCCTCATTAAATAAGACAAACGCGATACATTTAAGACTTTAACAAAGTTTTGCCAGAAGTATTCAATTTCAGCATTGCACGCATGCGCATTTGAATGCATGTGCGTAATGACCATATCATCTTGTCTACACTATTGATATATTTTAATATACTAAATATTACAACATTTAATCCAAAAATATCTTTAATCTAGTGTATTTAGAATTTTACACATTTCACGTGCACGCACGTGCATGATTACCATTCCATGTTGTAGGAGTCTATAATATCTATCTATGTTCTGAATCCCATGCTGTTTGGTTGAAAACCAAGGGAGTTATAGCCATTTAAAGTTTCAGCCAATCAGATTGCAGCGCACGTGCATGTGCGTGATTTGATGGAAATTAATATATATGACATTGTAGGATATCCTAAAGCATGCCTATGTTTTAAATTTCAAAGCATTTCGTCAAAAAACAAAAAAGATATTGAGATTTTTGTTTCAGCCAATCAGAGCGAAGCGCACGTTCATGCACGTGCAAGCATGTTCATGATGACCATACCTTCTTCTAGGAGTCCTTTATGTTTGTCTATGTTCTAAATACCATGCTGTTTGGTTAAAAAACAAGGGAGTTATAGCCATTTAAAGTTTAAGCCAATCAGATTGCAGCGCACGTGCATGCGCGTGCTTTCATGAAAATTCTTATATACCATATTGTAGGATATCTTAAAGCATGCTTAAGTTTTAAATTTCAAAGCATTTCGTCAAAAAACAGAGAAGATATTGAGATTTTTGTTTCAGCCAATCAGAGCAAAGCGCACGTGCATGCGCGTGAGTTCGTGCTAATTTGACAGTGTCACCTTATCTACACTATCAATGTATCTTTATATAATGAGTTTCAAATCATTTCAGTAAAAAATATAAAAGTTATAGCTATATTAAGTATATTAGTCATTTCACTCATATCACGCGCACGCACGTGCATGCGTATGCGCGCAAAATGACCTTCGTTCCGCACACCTACACTACACACCTATTAACCCTAAAAAGGTTTTAGCTCAGTTGGGTGAACAGTTTCTGAGAACACTCGCGGACAAAAAAGTCCGGAGAAGAAATAAGAAGAAAAAAGAATAATAATAAGAAACAGAGTAAAAACAATATGTTCCCCAACTTCGTTTGGGGAACATAATAATAAGAAACAGAGTAAAAACAATATGTTCCCCAACTTCGTTTGGGGAACATAATAATAAGAAACAGAGTAAAAACAATATGTTCCCCAACTTCGTTTGGGGAACATAATTAATGAAATTGTGGATATTATCACAAGCGGGAAAAATGACATTTCAACAGAATTAGCAAGATTTTCAGATAACTCATTAAATCATAAATAAAATACCCCACTTGTGAGTTGTGATTATTTTAAAGTTGATGGACACCTTTTGTCCTACTCATAGTTTCAAACAAGCAAATCTTTTATTTGAACATTCAGGAGGTGAATGAACGTTTCTGTACAAACCTGAATATTTCCCAAGCGGCATGCCGACGTGAAGCATCGTACAGTTCATGTTTTCGTGAATTTTCAAAAATAAATTCATTTCTAAAATGTATTCTAACGTACGTACCTTGACTCTCTTGGATGGGAGCTGGAATGGCGCCATTTGTCAGGTTGGGCCGCACATTGGAGGAATGTGGGCCGTGGAAGGAAGTACCCCTACGGGGCGGTAGTCTTGGAGGGGCATCATGACTCTGAAGGTTTGATTCACTTCGTGAATTTCTCGGTAAAGTACTTGAACTAGGTCTTTGGTTAACTTGGGGGATAGGTATATTTGCGGTGGAGGGAGGAACAGGTGGGAGGGGGTCATGTCTATTTCTTGGTGGGGGTGGGGGTAAATCATCGGATGACCCTCGTCGGTTCCTGGGCGACTGAGCGGACTGTGGTCGGGATGCGCTAGTGGGACCCCTACGAGGGAGGGTGCTAACTGATGGTGGGTCTGGTCGCCCTGCCCTGCTAGGTAACGGTGGAGGCGCTCCACTCATAGCGAGGGCTGCCATTTCTTATATCATGATCTGAAACGAAATAAAGAATTTCAAACTAAGTAGTATACATGGTGTTGTTTTGTTTTGTTTTTCAGAGAAATGAATTTAGTTGTTCGGACTATGGCCTTTTTCTGTTTGACTTCTCCCTGTGGTGCTAGCAGAGTGAGAGATTTTCCATGATTGTTAATCTGGTTGACCAATTTGTACTCCTTATGCTCATGTATACCGAAATATACTGTCAAAGATTTCTTTTCACTCTATTTAATGAATTTTGTAGTTAGACCTAATTAAGGTAGTTCTGTACTTTCAACATTTTCTGTCAAACTAATAATTTTTTAATTTGAATACCTTACATAAGTCATAAACTAACTAAAACACCCCAAAAAGACATATCTTTGCAGGTGAATTTTCGTACAACATGTCTCAGAGTACATACCTCTAAAACTTTAACAGCCAAAATTGATCTTAAAGAAGTGAAATATCATATTTCATTTACCTATGCACCAAATCACATTTATTTTATGTTGAAACCTATGAAAATCAAAAATATTCATTTGCCAAGAGAATATTTGAAATCTTTACTGGAAAACATTAACAAATTGATGTTGAATCTGCCCACGTCTTTCAAATAAAAATCTCAAAATTTCCTTATCTTTAATATTTCTCAAAATCGAAACTGTACATGTGCCATTTTTTCTTTAAAAATATTAAGAATTATATCTAAGGTTAACAAAACACATAGTTTATTATGTTCAACCAGATAAATTTAACAAAACAGCCTTTTGAACACGTATACCTCCCATATTTTAAATATCAAACTTTCAATCATTTTTGGCAAACATTTTTAAAAAGTTAAATTCCAAAAGATGATATAGGCTTTAAAATCAATCAAAATAGATCTCAAGTTAATTTATTTAAAAAAAATTAAAAAGGATTAGGTTCATAAAGGCAATTAAGAATTTTGTGTCTGTGTATTACTAAATGACATATAGTTCCTACGGACAGAGTGCAGAGTGTTAACATTTCGATAAATAACGATATTAAATGTTCTATTACATTAAAATAAACAAATACATAATTGCTAAATTATTTTCAATCATTCAAAATTTTTTTTTCGACAGATAAGTGATAATCAGAATTTTATATTGGTGTGTAAAATTAAAACTGGATCCGTAAAAGTATGGACCTTCCTTAAGGCTCAGTTTTTTTAGTTGAGGGAGGGAATTTTTTTTCCGGATTTTTTTTTCTTTTTTTTTTTTTTGACGATGAAAACTTCACACTTCTGTGCATTAACTGGCAAGATTGGAAATATAAAGCTTACGTCATTTCTATCTGTTACAATCAAAACATTCAGTGATAGACAAGAAATGGGTGGGTACGATTCGACGCGGACGTGGGGGAAAACATCGGATTGAAATTGCAGATTGAAATTCATTTTCAATCCGCCTGAGCTGTTCAAGCTTACTATACCAAAATTGAAATTATTTGTCTTTTTGGTGAATCAGTAATAATGTGCCTTCTAGCGCAGCTGAGGTGGATTGAAAATAAATTTCGATCTGCAATTTCAATCCGATGTTTTCCCCACGTCCGCGTCGAATTGTACCCGCCCATTTCATTGTCTATCATTGAATGTTTTGATTGTAACAGATAGAAATGACGTAAGCTGTATATTTCCAATCTTGCCAGTTAATGTTCCGCGGTCTTAACCTTGGTCATTACTTTTAAAAACTTGGTGCAAGTGATTCATATTTCCAATGTTTATTCCATAGGACAATATGTACCTTTCCTTGTGTACCAACAATTATTAGAATTTGACGATGACCTACATTTAAAAGAAAACCAACCTTGGCCATATCTTTGGAATATTGGTGCCATGGCTATTATATTTCACAATTGTGTTTATAGTAACAGGATCTTATTTTTTTATTTCTTGACCTTGACCTCCGAGTTGGCATTTGAACAAATTTTAACTTTCACCATGAACTGTCATACGGGGGCATCGGTGTTTCAAAAAAAACATTATAAGTGAAAAGAGAGGGTTTTAATTAAGTCTATACATGTGCTTGTGATCGACTCTGTCTCTTCGTTTTTATCTTTCTGACATAGGATGATTACGACTGCTACATCGTCATTCTCAGTTTATGTACAAATCTATTTCTCACTCGTGCTTACCCTCGACTCAACGGACAAGTGATATTAATTTTCTACTCTGACCTCCTTTTCAACAAATTTATATTTTAATA